TACCAAAAAAGGCGCGTCAGGGGGGAAGCCAAGGAAGACTCAGGGAACAGTACGGGAGGACAGCTTGTTCGCAGACAAGTCGCGGACAAAAGTTCGAGATCCCCAGACACGGAACGCAGACGCATCGCCAACCTTCCCCGTCCACCGCAGAGCAGGGGAGGTCTCTCCACCTCTGTCGGAGTGCAGACGCAGAATAGGAAAGTCCAAGCCGAAACTCTCTCTGAGCTGGAGACGAGCAGCGCGGACCCACTCAATCAACACCTCAATGACCTCACCCTTGAGACGCAAGGGGAAGAGTGTGGTGTAACGCGAGTAGTCGTCAACCACCAGTAGGAAGTAACGCTCCAAACCCTGTCCACGGATGCGGGCGGGGCCCCACACGTCCATGTGGAGAGTCTGCAGCGGAGCCTCTGTTGGAGGAGACTCGGAGGAGTGAGGAGCGGCGCGCTGCTGTCCCTCAACGCAGGGAACGCAGGTAGGGGCAGGCCACAGAGGAAGGGGAGGGAGGGACCTGGGGAGACCAGAGAGAAGGACACATGAGGGCATGCCTCAGAGACGAGGCAGGGAGGGGTGACTAAGGCGGTGGTGCCAAAGGAGAGTCTGGTGGGACACGAGGCGACACGAGCAGGGGGCGGACTCAGGACTAGACCGAGACGCTGTAGCAGACACCTGACCCGACGCAGCAACCTGACCAGACGTAGTAACCGAAGGAGACTCAGTATTCAGTGTGTACAGGCTCGACCCCGGCTGACGGGTAAACGTGGCCAAGTGTCGGCGCGTCCGAGCACACGTGCAGTGGGTCACTCGCTGACTCGCAGGAGTAAACTGGTTAACCCCTCCATCCTGTAGGTCAGCACCACTCACCAAGTTCGTAGAGAACGAGGGTAGGTAGAGACCTGACAGGGAGCCAGACGGGGCCGCCGGACACGGTAGGCTAGTGGAGTAGTGAGCAAGGACAGGACCCCCAGAGGTGTCTGCCAGGGAGAGTGCAACCGGCCAACTAAGCGGCGTGAGGGTGGTGCGGTCTCGAAAGAAGGAGTGGGAAGCACCAGAGTCAAGGGTGAAGGTGTGCAAGACCGCAAGAGGCGCAGCACTAGAGAGAGCAGACTCACCAGCACTTGGAGCAGGAGACTCACTAGCACCTAGAGCAGCAGCCTCACCGACACCTGGAGCAGGAGACGCACGAGCACCTAGAGCAGCAGCCTCACCAGCACCTAGAGCAGCAGACTGGATACCGGGGTCAGGCGGCACACACAGGTGACAGGCACCCTCAGCACTAGTAGACAATGCATACATTGCAGTGAGAAGAGCATCATAGTCAAGAGCAAAGATATCTACCCTCTGCTTAAACAGCTCCAGCCAGGAGGGGAGCTCAGTGTCGTCGCCAAACTCTGTACGCCAAGCGGTGCTCAGACGGTCAAAACAGCGGGACTCTATGTGACCAGGAGTCCCGCAAGGCTGACCTGTCCGGACACCCGTGCGAATGACGTACGTGCAGCGAGCACTACTCAGTGACCCTCTACTCTGAGCGTACCACTCGCAAAGCTGCTGGGGCGAAAGAGTCTCGCGCGGACGACGCTGCAGCTGCACATGGCCACTACAAGAAGCTCCCGAACTACTCACTCTAGGACGACTCCCACTACGGCCACTTCGACAACCCCAACTAGCGTACCACTCACGAAGCTGCTGGGGCGGGAGGGACTCACGCGAACGTCGCTGGAGCTGTAGCTGGCCTCCGCTAGGAGTAGCAGTAGCAGTAGTAGCCACAGTAGCAGTAGTAGCAGCAGTAGCAGTAGTAGCAGCGCGGCCACCCCTACAACCCCAACTAGCGTACCACTCACAAAGCTGTTGGGGCGTGAGGGACTCACGCGGACGGTGCTGGAGCTGCATCTGGCCACGCCACGAGCAGCAGTAGCAGTAGAAAGAGCAGTAGCAGCAGGAGCAACAGGAATAGCAATAAGGGCAGGGCAGTGCTCACCAGTGGCGAGAAGGGCAGGCGTACGACGGCGGCAACGGCGAGGCTGCTACCACTGTAGGGCAAGGGCTCCGCGGCAGCTGCAGGGGCGGCTGCACCCGGGGCGGCTGCTCCAGGGGCCAAGGGCGGCTGCTGCAGGGGCGGTTGCTTCAGGGGCCAGGGGCGGCTGCTGCAGGGGCGGCTGCCCCAGGGGCCAGAAGCGGCTGCGGCAGGGGCGGCTGCTCCAGTGGCCAGGGGCGGCTGTTGCAGGTGCGGCTCCTCCAGGGTCCAGGGGCGGCTCCTCCAGGGGCCAGGGGCAGTTGCTGCAGGGGCAGTTGCTGCAGGGGCAGCTGCTGCAAGGGTTGGGGCAGGGGCGGCCGTCTGAAGGTCGGGCGCGGGTTAGGGCAGGGCGCCGCGCCGGGCGGGGCGACGCCGCGCGGGTCCCGCAGGGGCGTCGCGACGCGCGGGGGCGACGCCTGGGTCCCGTTCGGGCGTCGCGACGCGTAGGAGCCGCGCCTCGCGGGTCCCGCAGGGGCGTCGCGACGAGGCAGGGGCGTCGCGACGGGGCAGGGGCGACGCGCGGGTCCCGCTGAGGCGTCGCGACGAGGCAGGGGCGACACCCGGGTGGCGACGGGGCGGGGTCGCGACTGGCGACGGGGCGGGGCCGCTACGGGCAACGGAGCGGGGCCGCGAAGGGGATGCGAAGGGGCCGCTAAGGGGCCACGAAGGGGCCGCGAAGGGGCCGGGAAGGGGCGGCTAAGGGGCCGCGAAGGGGCCGCTACGGGGCCGCGAAGGGGGGGCCGCTAGAGGGCCGCGAAGGGGCCGGTAAGGGGCAGCGAAGGGGCCGCGTGAGGGTAGGGCAGGTCAGAGCGCGAAGCGTACTTCGGGCAGGGTAGGAAAAAAAAAATTAGATGGTGGGCCCTTAGGAGGAAACGGTCCCACTAGGGAACCCGCTCTATACCATGTGAGAATAACGAGGAATGAATTGACTAGGAATGTGTGGGGTACAAGTATGAAACCCTAGAATATCTGTACCCCCTATTGTCTACCCCACTACAGCCTACATCGGCTATATCATATATGTCTGACACATACCGTCCACAAGCCAACTACCACGTAATCGCCCAGCGAGCATGACACGCCCGCCGACCGAACCGATCATCACACCCGAGAAAATTATGAGCCACAGAGTTCGTGACCCACGAGGAGCTCGAAGGATCGAGTTCCTGATCTGCTGGAAAGACCGTACACCCATTGAAGACAACTGGGTTCCTCTGGACAGAGTCGAAAACCACCCCGTCCTCACAGAGTACCTGCGCGGCCGAAATTTCAGAGATGTACACGCACTTTCGTAAGGAGGACCTCCTTAAGGGGGGGGGGGGGGGGGGGGGGGGGTAGTGTAAGGAAAATTCCTTTTCATTACTTCGCGTACCTGCTCATCGCGTACACCACTGTAGCATCACACCCCGAGCGGTAGTCAGCACCGTTACTATTCGCAACCCTCGCATCGACAATCCTCCTGCCACCTTCGCACATCGCACCCCGACCTTACGGCTCGGCGGGTAACCCGCGCTCCGAGCCTCCGTTTCGACATTTTCCCAACCTCAGTTCCAGACCCGTCGCACGTCAACCACAGTTCATTACCGTTACCACTGTAGTTTCGCTATATATTCTTCGCTCATGCCTTCGCTTATTGTACTCTTGCTTCAATAGTGCAATTCTCGTTCGATCACTCAATTGCACTCGTAACACCCTTTGATATTGTTATGACAGAGTGCGCGGAAGACTTCTACAAAGAGAATGAATTACAGAATGATAAAAAATGATAAAAGAGTGCGCATTTATAGGGTTGAAACCGTGCTAGGCGAGGACCTCGGGACGTGGATGGTTTGGAAGTTTTGCGATTGGTGCGGGGCGACTCGGAATTGGTTCGGTGCGGAATTGTAGGCCGAGCCATCCTGACGCGAAGTGCTCGGGCTGTCCTCGCTAGGAGCAGCTTATACATTAATGAATGTATATTCATTACGACACATATATTCTCATTCACAGGCCTGGCCTGGTCTTTTTCTGGATCAGGTCTGGTTGCCCTTGAAGTCACTCTTGAGACGAGGGCTCTGATCGGTAGCCCCTAAGCGGCTTAAAGCAGCAGTATACATTTGAAAGTACTGTTGGTTTAGGAACAGTACCCACCAAAAGAAAACCCCAACGAAAACGAACGGGCTTGGCGAGAGGCTCGGCGAAAATTTGGAGGGCTGACATTTGCGAACATGAGAAATCCTCCCAACACCCAACCCCTAGACTGACACTAACGGACTCAAGGATAAGCGACTAATTTTTAGGAAAGGCCTTGATACGACTACATAAAAATTGACTAGGAGGGGCGAGGAGCAGCGCTACCACTAAAAAAAGCGCTGGTGGTAAGGCGACACGTGTCACAAGGCTGGCTCGCGAGATTAACGAGTAAGATTTTTTACAAACACCTCAATCTCTCATTCGTAGACTTGTTCAAATGCCTCGCGCTAGATGTAGGAATAGCCTTCGGAGAGGCGCGCCGCATTTCCCATATTCCCGTCGTCGGCGACATTCTCACAGAACCCGCAGCTCGAGCGCCGCACCCGCAGCTCGCGACACCTTCTTAGCGAGTCGCGAGCGTCTCGCCTAACACCCCGCTGTGCGCCTCACCCGTTAGCGCCCCACCGCTTCGCGCGTCACCGCTTAGCGCCCCACCGATTAGCGCCTCACCGCTTAGTGCCTCACCGCTAAGCGCCTCAACCACTGCGATTCCTCTCAAGTTTTGGCGCAGGCCTGTGCTGAACGTGTAACCTAGCTCGCCTCGCTTTGCACGTCATCAGCTTCACGCTCACCCTCTGCTGGCCTCACCTGCTGCTCGCGCTCTGGGCGAATGTCGAATTCGCCTCAGAGGCTGCGCTCCGTGAGGCTGTCGCCTCGCTGCTCGCCTCCCACTGGTTGCTGTTTTGTCGGCAAGTCACTCTCCCATTCATCGAGCAGGCCAAATTGCCACCATTGAATGGCCGCGCTGCCATGAATGCGGGGAGCCAGTCGTCAAACCATTTTCACAGACCCATTTCCCCTCCCTCCTCTCATTTCCCCACCTTCCCTCTTTCTTTTCCACCACTACTCCTCATACCCCCCTTCTCTCCCTCCTATTTTCCGCCCTTCCTCCTCTCATTTCCCCCCCCCCTGCTTCCTCGATGTTTCCCCACTGCTCCTCCACACATCCCCCCTCTTCTCCCTCTCATTTCCCCTATTTATCCATCTCTGCTTCCCCTCGTTCCCCTCTCTACTTCCCCTTGTTTCCTCCTCTGCTTCCACTCGTTCCCCCCTCTCCTTCCCCTTGTTTCCCCCTCTGCTCCCCCTCGTTTCCCCCCCCCCCCCCTTCCCCTTGTTTCCCCCTCTGCTCCCCCTCGTTACCCCCTCTCCTTCCCCTTATTTCCCCCTCCCCTTCCCCTCGTTACCCCCTAACTTTCCCCTTATTTCCCCATCTGCTTCCCCTCGTTCCACCCTCTCCTTCCCCTTATTTCCCCCTCTGCTTCCCCTCGTTCCCCCCTCTCCTTCCCCTTATTTCCCCCCCTGCTCCCCCTCGTTCCCCCCTCTCATTCCCCTTATTTCCCCCTCTGCTTCCCCTCGTTCCCCCCTCTCCTTCCCCTTGTTTCCCCCCCTGATCCCCCTCTTTCCCCCCTCTCCTTCCCCTTGTTTCTCCCTCTGCCTCCCCTCGTTCCCCCCTCTCCTCTTCCGTGTTTCCCCCTCTGCTCCCCCTCGTTCCCCCCTCTCCTTCCCCTTGTATCCCCCTCTGCTCCCACTCGTTCCCCCCTCTCCTTCCCCTTGTTTCCCCCTCTGCATTCCCTAGTTCCACCCTCTCCTTCCCCTTATTTCTCTCTCTGCTTCCCCTCGCTCGTTCCCCCCTCTCCTTCCCCCTATTTTCCCCTCTGCTTCCCCTCCTTTCCCATATGCTTCTTCACATATCCGCCCTCTTCCGCCCCTCTTTTTATCATCTCCCCTCCCTTCCACCGCCTCACCGCAGCCTAGGGCACCTCCCACGTTTTCCCCCTCTCCTGTTCCGTGAACGAGCCCCTCACCACTGCTCCTGTATGCATTATAAACCCCTGAAGAAAGCCCATGCTTCGTCCCCTGCTTCTCTATTTCCCACCCTTCCCTTGGTGTGTATGGTTGTTGACCAGCTATATTGGATTGAATTAGTTTTTTTTTTTTTTTTTTTTTTTTTTTTTTTTTCATCTGTGTTATCTGTTTGTGTGGTGTTCCGTGTTTTCTATCGCTCTGCTTTGTTGTGGCTCACATGCTGTATTCGACTGTAGTTCCTGATCCCCATATTCCGCCCCATTACCCTCCCCCCCCCCCAACACACGCCTCCCAGACCCCCTTCCCTCACTCTGCTGAGCTGCTTCTCTTTCCAGTATTTTCTTACTTTATCCCTCTCATTAATACCACCTAACACCACGCCACTTGACCCTAAACCAGGAGCTAAACCCTGGAGTGCTCTATACAGCGTGACCCACCTGGTATTGCATTGCACCCCAGCTTCTCCCTGCTCCTCCGTGACCCTCCATTCTAACATCGGCTCCCCAGCACGATGTGGCTTTGAGGTGCGCCCAAGCTTCAGCCGGTCGGGGAAAGGTGTGGGGAGAAATGGGTGTGGTTACGGCAAGAAGTGGCGGAGAGTGGCGAAGTGGGAAAGTGGATGCTTTTAAACTGTCGGCCCGCAATTAGCCAGCACCGCATGGCACTCCAGGCCAGGCGTGACCTGAGTCGCAGCTCGGGGTTTCAGCATTGGGCTGGGCTGGTCCGGGCCAGCTTCACCTTTTGAGTCGACTCAAAAGCTGGTCCGGGCCAGCTTCACCTTTTAGTCGACTCAAAAGCTGGTCCGGGCCAGCTTCACCTTTTGAGTCGACTCAAAAGCTGGTCCGGGCCAGCTTCACCTTTTGAGTCGACTCAAAAGCTGGTCCGGGCCAGCTTCACCTCTCATGAGAGAGAAGCTAATGTTTGTTGCTGCCTTGCGTTCTTCTATCTTCCCGTCCCACCCCCGTGCTTCCTCCTCGTCCTGCAGTTCTCTCGTACCCAGCTAATGTGCATCTGTGCAGACATTGTAATGTTGTGCTCATTCCATGATGCCCTGCTATCATACCCCTTCCCCTCCCCTGTGCATCCTTCCTTCCCGCCCTCCCTTCCCACTCTCGGAAGCAGCTCCCGGCCAATGTCACACCCAGCGCGTGTTAGTGCGCACATGGCACGACCTGCCGAGATGCCGAGGCAGGAAGAACAGCTGAGGCGAGCCAATGTGGCAACTGAGACGGCAAGACGCAACTCAAAAACCACGCCCCCATGCATGTTTGCTAGGTGGGTGCATGGGTGGGTTCTACACTTGCAAGTATGCAGTGCATGTTTTCCGCATGTTTTCACTCCGTTTCCCTCCCCAGCCAGCCATGGAGTGGCGGAGCTGTTCCCAGACACGCCCCTCACACGCGAGCACCGTGCATACGTGCTAGACAACCATCATCCGCACGTCGGGGGAGCCAGTGACGTTCTACCACAAGCATCACCGAGGCCATGGATCTGATCAAAATTGTTGCAGCAATAAAACCTATTTCTCCCTATGCTTGCCCCATGTTTCTGCCCTCTTAGTCCCCATGTCACCCCCCTACTACTGACCCTATGTTTCCCCCCATGTGAGCCCCATGTTTCCCCCCATGCTAGCCCCAAATTTTCCCTCCTTTTCCCCCACGGCTTTCCTTCCTTTCCCAATCGGCTCCTTCGAGTTTACTTATTCTCTGTCCTCCCTTTTTTCCCTGCTTATGCTCCCTCCTCCCCTCGCTTACCCTCCCTCTTCCCTTCTACCTCTCTTTCCACTTTTCAGCTCCAGTGCCGTGTTTACCGCGTTCCCTTTCCAATTGAGGGCTCTCGAGTGCAGCATGGAACAAGATAGACTCTACTTGCTTCAGCATAGGCTAGCATGTGCTCCTACGGTGTGTTGAAAGTAGTTGAATGTTACAGCACAACTTTACAGACAATGATGTTCACATACCGTACATCCGATACGAATCACGTGATCTGAATTTCAGGTGTCTGTCCTCTAACACTAAGCCAACCCCACATTTGTGTATGAGCACAGCAATGATGTCAAAAAGGAGCTTTGGGTTGTATCGTATGTACACATAGAAAATCATCTCTAAGTATACTAAACAGCACTATCGTCTACTCTTGGTGTCATCTTCTGCCATGACACACTCCTGCAACATAACGCCCCTCCCTTCACACTGACAAGCTTGCTTGGGCCAGGCGTTGTCGTGCTTGTAGCTGGAGCAGAGGGAATCGGCACACCAATATGGTGCTGACTTGGATGCAAAACCGGCAGCTTTGCATATGCATACCCACCTGGTACAGGTTGTATGACACCTTGTGTCACAGTGGTAAATAATGGGGCCCCAAACCCATGGGAAAGGCAGGGAGGTGTGATGGAAAGGCAGGGAGGTGTGATGGAAAGGCAGGGAGGGATGGCGGTGAGGATTGCGAGAGTGAGAATGGCAGGAAGAGTGCGTGGGGAGGCGTGGCGAGTGTGCAAGGCTGACGGGACTCGTCCTGATCCCGTGGCCGATGGGAAGGAAAACGATATGGGGAGACATGAAGGAGAGATTGGGAGCGACGGAGAGGGATGGGGCGATCTGGAGGAAGGAGGGGGTAAGGGGATGCTCGCAGCTACAAGCAGGACAAAGCATGGCTCAGTGACAAAGGAGGGAAGAGGCACAGAGAGCGAAAGGTAGAGAGGTGCTGATGGGGACAGCGCTTGAGGAGCAGTTTGAAGAGGGCGGGTTGTGTATAACAGGCCCTGGAAGAGAGAAGAAAGAGATGGGAAGGCAGGGAAAATGAGGGCGTGCAGGGGGGGAAAATGAGGGCGTGCAGGGGGGGAAATGATGGTTCTTAGCGGTCATAGGTTGACCTTCAGAATCCTCATCCGTGTTTTTTTCCCAAGCACGGGTGGTCAAAGGGGTGTGTGAGCTGGTGGGGAAGGGAGAGGAATAAGAGGGAAGTGCAGAGAGGGTAAGAGCAGGGGATGAAAACTGAGCAGGGAGGAAAAACAAGAGCAGACGGGGAAAAGAGGAGGAGTGGGTGGAAAGAGGTGCAATACGGGAAAGGATGAGCAGAGAGGGACAAGAGGAGCAGAGGGGGACAAGAGGAGCAGAGGGGGACAAGAGGAGCAGAGGGGGGAAGTGGAGTAGGGGGGGATAAGAGGAGGGGAGTGGGGAAAGAGGAGCAGTGAGGGAAAAGAGGAGGAGAGGGGGAGAAGAGAAGCAGAGGCGAAAAAGAGCGGAGGTGGGCAAGTTGAGAACATGGAGAAGGAGGAGCAGAGGGGGGAAATAGGAGAAGCAGGAGGTGAAATGGTGGGAAGCAGGGGCGGAGATGTGGGAGGAGGAGAAGGAGTGGCGGGAGGACGAGAAGGCACGGCGGGAGGGGGAGGAGGCATGGTGGGAGGAGAGGGGGTGGCAGGAGGAGGAGAAGGCATGTTGGGAGGAGGAGAAGGGGTGGCGGGAGGAGGAGAAGGCATGGTGAGAGGACGAGAAGCTATGGCGAGAGGAGGAGAAGGCATGGTGGGAGGAGGAGAGGGGGTGGCAGGAGGAGGAGAAGGCATGGCGGGAGGAGGAGAAGGCATGGTGAGAGGACGAGAAGCTATGGTGAGAGGAGGAGAGGGGGTGGCGGGAGGGGGGGAAGGCATGGAGGGAGGAAAAGGGGAGAAATGAGGGCAAGCAGGGGAGAATTGAGGGCAATCAGGGGAAGAAATACGATCGTGCAAAGGGGGAAAATAAGGCGTACAAGGGAGAAAATGAGGGCGTGCAAGGTGGGGAAACGAGGGCAAGCAGGGAGGGAAAACGAGGGCGTACATGTGGGGCAGTGAGGGCGTTCAGGGGGGGGTTTTGAGGGCGTGCAGCGGGGATGCGGAAGCACAGCCGTTGCAAGAGAGTGAGAGAGGGCCGAGGGCCTTATTTGAGTGCAGCTCGCGAAAGGAGGCCGCCGCGAGACGCGGAGAGGCAGCGAGGGGAGGCAGGGAAGATGCGCATGCGCGGGAAGGCGAGAGGAGGAAACGCGTGGAGGCGAGAGTCGCACGCGCGGGGAGGCGAGAGGGGCAGGCGCGGGAGGCGAGAGGAGCAGGCGCGGGAGGCGAGAGGGGAACGCGCGGCAAGGCGAGAGGAGGCCGCGCGTGGAGGCGAGAGGAGGCCGCGCGGGGAGGCGAGAGTCGAGCGCGCGGGGAGGCGTGAGGAGGAAGCACGGGGGGAAAGCGAGAGGAGAGCGCGGGGATGCGAGAGGAGCACGCCCGGGGAGGCGAAAGGAGAATTCGAACCGGGAGGCGATAGGAGCAGGAATGGGTAAGGCGGCGGAATGGGGATTGCGGGCGGAAATGAGGTTGCGGAAAGGGGATTTCAGTGCTCTGGAACGAGGGCGTGCAGGGGGGGAAACGAACGAGGCAGCGTGGTTCGGCGAGGGGAGACTCACTCCGGACGTCGTCCGGCGAAAGGCGAACGACGGAAGGCGAACGTGAAAGGGAGGGCACGCGAGCGGCGAGGCGTTCAGCAGCGGCTCACCGCGCGCGGTGAACGGCGGACGGCGAGCTAGGAGTGGAGGACGGGATGGGATGGCAGATGCTAGCGCGTTGAGGCTAAGCGGGACGCTGTGGGGAGGGGAGGCGCTAGCGCTAATGGCCTTGCGGTGAGGCAGCGAGAGAAGGCGTGGGGCGGCCTTGTCCCCTGGTGGCGTGGTCTAAGCGAGTGCGTACGAATGGGCAATTTGTCTGCGCATGCGCTTGAACAGCGTTACGCGGTTCAATAAATAGTTCTGTCCCTAAATCCAGCGGTTAGGTTAGAACGTTGCCCAGTCTACGGGAAATCAGCTACCGGAGTAAGAGCTTGTGGGCTATCCTCTCACTACTGCAGTTTCAGTTTCCTTTTGCAATTCCTTAGGTTTTGAACTGTGAGTGCGGGGAGTTGGACATGGGGCGTTTGGGGGACTCGCTTCGCTTATGAAGCGGGGAGGAGTTGGGGTTGTAATCGCGTAACCAGTTTTTCAAGTTCGGTTTTTGAAACCCCTGCTTGCAAAAGTATACTGCTGCTTTAAGCTTCTGTCGCCTTGGCACACACATGTGGGCACGTGTCGGTGGGTGCTTCCCTTCTCCTCCTGTAAGTTTCCCAACTCCGAGGGGTGATCGGCACGCCCTCGAAACTCCGCTTAGGGAAGTTGCGAGGGTCGTGAGCGCGATTTCCCTCAGCGCACTGTTGCGCTCGGCCCAGACTGCCCCACTCGTGACCAAGAAAACGAATTCCCACAAAGGGGTAACTTAGCCAGAAAATGACAACATCAAGAACCACTGGGAGTTGGGGAAATGAAAATTTTTGAAGATATTTGAGAGCTTCCCTGAAAACAAAAAGTAAAACTTGGGGTTTTATCGGGTTCACCCTTCGCGGGCTCAATCCGAGTAGCGAGGCTACTCTCACAAAAAGCCAGGGTTAGTGGAGTTCAGCCGCGGAGCTAAGTTTGCCCGTGAAGGAACCTTCCTGAATGGTCACTTCGAGTCGTACTCCGAGTAGGGTGTTCGGGCGAACGTTTGCCCATTCTGACTTACGCGGAGTAATCCACGTCGGACTGAGTAAACTTCCGTCACACGTGCAAAGCGGGACTTACGGAGCTGCCTAGAAGCTCACTAACCCCGCTTAAGGGTGCTACCGATCAGGCACGAGGTTGGACCCGTTTTGGTGGGTTTCAGAACATTGTAGCGTGGCTGCAGTGCGAGTCGATCTGAAGCTGTGAATCTCGAGACTACCCCGCGCATTTCCATTCAAACCAATGGCTACTTGCAGTCCAGCGTTCGCGGTCTTTTGGTGACGGCAGATTACATTAGTTGCTATTTGTCAGGGACACCGAATAATCGCGCGCGCAAGTCTGGCCATCTAGCCGCAGCCATTGCCGGTTGAGACTTACTGTTCAAACCCGTTATTATTCACAGACCCTCAGTTTCATGTACTGAAGCAAGATTATCCGCTTTTTGACGACTCAATCTGTTCAGCAGCGTGTTCTGATCTAGCAAAAGCGTTGAGCCGAGGATTTGAGCACCGTTGAGCAGCCATGGCGGATTTAAACCAGGAGTCGCTGCTCGCGCACAAGCGCACGTTCATGGAGTTCCTCGACCCCGAGGTGCGAAACAGTTATCTTCTAGATAATAGTTTACATCAACACAACTATGTTATGAGGCGTCTCATAGCGAGTACAGTTCATGGAGTTCCTCGACCCCCAAGTACGTCCGAGGTTGCGGAGTGTGTACAAATTCGTCTTACAAAATGTCTCACTACGCTTTATGGGTTGTCCTTTTGAAGTTTCTCGATCTCTTTTATCACCACCAACCCCCCTGCAACTCCTCCTCCTTTTCTTTCATCCCCGCCCTCCTCCCTTCAGAACCCCAAGTCGCGCTACATGCAGCGAATCAACGCCATGGTGGACGCGGGCAAGCACCGCCTCCTCATTGACCTCTCGGACCTCCGATCCTTCGATCCGCACCTCGCCCGCAGGTACGGTTGTCTGCCGGACCTGGTTAACATCCTTGGGTTAGAGTTGTTGCATTTTGCTCGATCTCACCACATTCACTATCCATCCTTGAGTGGTGAATACATGTTGTAGAAGCAACTTCTTCTCTTCTCTCCTCTGCCTCCCCCCACTTCCCCCAGGCTCATCTGCACGCCAGGCGAGGTGTACCCGGCACTAGTGAGCGCAGTGGGCGATGCATGGCACACCCCAAGCATCTGCTTCCCTTCCCTGTCTTCCAACACCCCTCCCTCCCAGGCTCATCCGCACGCCAGGCGAGCTGTACCCGGCACTAGTGAGCGCAGTGGAGGATGCAGTGAAGCTGGCGCACCCCAAGCACCTGCTCGAGTCTGCAGCCACAGGCGTGGGGGGCGGCGAAGTGAGCGTGGGGTTTGAGGGGCCGTTTGGGTTCCACCAGGTGTCCCCCCGCGAGCTGCTCTCGCCCTTCCTCAACTCGCTCGTCTGCGTGCACGGGATTGTCACCAAGTGTGAGTGTGCGGTGGCCTGGAGTTGAGTGCTGTGCTGCCACTTCCCCTGCTGACGTGCCCCTGTTGCCCTGTCGCTGCTGCCCTGTCGCTGCTGCCCTGTCGCTGCTGCCCTGTCGCTGCTGCCCTGTCGCTGCTGCCCTGTTGCTGCTCCCCTGTCGCTGCTCCCCTGTCGCTGCTGTAGGTTGTTTTGTAGAAATCTTCGCCTCAACGTGGTGCGCAGTGTGCACTACTGCCCTGCCAGGGAGACATTCCACTCCCTCCCTGCCACTGCTGCCCTGCCACTATGGTAGCATAGCATCTCATATTCCCCTCCCTCCAACAAACCCCCCCTCCGCTCCCCCCACCTTCCTGCCGCGCAGGCTCCTCGGTGCGGCGCAAGGTGGTGCGCAGTGTGCATTACTGCCCTGCCACAGGGGCCTTTCCTCCGCCTTGCAACTGCTGCCCCGCCACTAATATACCCTTCTCGCACCCCCCCACCTTCCTCTCCAGGCTCCTCGGTGCGACCCAAGGTGGTGCGCAGTGTGCACTACTGTCCGAACACGGGGGCCTTTTCCTCTCGGGAATATCGAGACGTCACTGCACTCACTGGCCTGCCCACGCCCGCCATCTACCCCACCAAGGTATGTCCGCCACCTGTGCTGTACGTCCTCCTGCCCATGCATATCAGGACGACAAGTGCAACATTCTAGTGCGTGCGTTTGTGCCTGAGAGAATGTGCCTGAGAGAATGTGCCTGTTTGTTTTCTGCCGCTACCGCGACCACCAGGCGATGGCGATGCAGGAGATGCCTGAGCTCTCCTTTGCCATGCCTTGCATCCCTACCTGTCTTTCAGGACGACAAGGGCAACATCCTCGTTACCGAATTCGGCCTGTGCCGCTACCACGACCACCAAGCCATGGCGATGCAGGAGATGCCTGAGAACGCCCCCGCAGGGCAGCTGCCATCACACATTCTGCCTGCCCCCTCCCCTCCTCACACCACACCAGGACGACAAGGGCAACATTTTGGTCACAGAGTTCGGCCTGTGCCGGTACCGCGACCACCAGGCGATGGCGATGCAGGAGATGCCTGAGAACGCCCCTGCAGGGCAGCTGCCACGGTCACTGGATGTGCTGCTAGAGGACGACCTAGTGGATGCATGCAAGCCGGGGGACCGCGTGGCCATAGTGGGCATCTACAAGGCCGCTCCCATGCGCGCCACTGGCACCATCAGCGGCACGTTTCGGTGAGATTTCTGGGGGTTACTGGGTGTTGCTGTGGGTAGAGTATGGTCGAGTGGGGTTTTTCTCCTTTTGAGAGAGTCCCAGCAGGGCAGGGCGGGGCAGGGTAGTGCAGGGCAGCTGCCGCGGTCACTGGACGTGGTGGTAGAGGACGACCTGGTGGATGCATGCAAGCCGGGGGACCGCGTGGCCATAGTGGGCATCTACAAGGCTGCTCCCATGCGCGCCACTGGCACCATCAGCGGCACGTTTCGGTGAGTCGAGCTGGAGGGAGTTTCCTGGGGATTGCTGTGGGTAGAGTAGGGTGGATTGGGGCTTTTTTCTCATTGAGAAATGCCTATCATTACCCCACTTCCTGCCGATCTGTGCTCATGAAGAGGGGAGAGGGGGATTGAGAAATGCCTATCATTACCCCACTTCCTGCCTGTCCCTCCCATCCAGAACCGTGCTGGTGGCATGCAATGTGATGCAACTGAGTAAAGGTGCTGTAGCTCCCCAAATGACAGCAGCAGATGTGAGGGCAGGGCAGTGAGGGCGCTGGCAGCACGGGTAGACGCGTGGGGGGTGGTGGGCGAGTTTCTCGCTTTGCTCCACTCACTGCGTGCCTCCCTCCCTGCCTCCCCGTGCCCACCACTACCCTTCCAGAACCGTTCTTGTGGCATGCAATGTGATGCAGCTGAGCAAGGATGCAGTGGCGCCGCGAATGACAGCAGCAGACGTGAGGGCAGTGAGGGCGCTGGCAGCACGGGCAGACGCGTGGGGAGTGGTGGGGGAGTCGCTGGCGCCATCCATCTGTGGGCATGCGTGGGTCAAGAAGGCCTTGGCGCTGCTGCTGCTGGGAGGAGTCGAGAAGAACTTGCCTAACGGGACCCACATAAGAGGGTGAGTTTGGTACTGGAATGCACCTTGGGCGGTGGCTGTTTGAGTTGGGGTGTGGGTTGTGGTGGTGTGGGCGCAAGGGTGCGTCGGGGGTGGTGGGGGAGACGCTGGCGCCATCCATCTGTGGGCACGCGTGGGTCAAGAAGGCCTTGGCGCTGCTGCTGCTGGGAGGAGTCGAGAAGAACTTGCCTAACGGGACCCACATAAGAGGGTGAGTTTGGTACTGGAATGCACCTTGGGCGGTGGCTGTTTGAGTTGGGGTGTGGGTTGTGGTGGTGTGGGCGCAAGGGTGCGTGGGGGGTGGTGGGGGAGACGCTGGCGCCATCCATCTGTGGGCACGCGTGGGTCAAGAAGGCCCTGGCGCTGCTGCTGCTGCTGGGGGGGGTTGAGAAGAACCTGCCTAATGGGACCCACATAAGAGGGTGAGTGAGTGGCGTTTTGTGTCTTGTGTATACCTTGAGGGCAGTTGAGTTGCTGGTGTGGGATGGTGCTGGTGTGGGATGGTGCTGGTGTGGGATGGTGCTGGTGTGGGATGGTGCTGGTGTGGGATGGTGCTGGTGTGGGATGGTGCTGGTGTGGGATGGTGCTGGTGTGGGATGGTGCTGGTGTGGGATGGTGCTGGTGTGGGATGGTGCTGGTGTGGGATGGTGCTGGTGTAGAGGAGATAAAATATGTGGAGGCGAGAGGGCATGCCGTGGGGGGTGGAGGGGGAGTCCCTGGCTCCGTCCATCTGTGGGCACGCGTGGGTCAAGAAGGCCCTGGCGCTGCTGCTGCTGGGAGGGGTCGAGACGAACCTTCCTAATGGCACCCACTTCCGCGGGTGAGACAGGAGTTTCAGAAGATGTGTGAGTGGCGCTTTTTGTCGTTTCTAAGCCTTGATCCGCTGGTGGGCCAGGTCAGGGTGTTGGGCGGTCCCTCCCTCCCTCGGTCAGGGTGTTGGGCGGTCCCTCCCTCCCTCGGTCAGGGTGTTGGGCGGTCCCTCCCTCCCTCGGTCAGGGTGTTGGGCGGTCCCTCCCTCCCTCGGTCAGGGTGTTGGGCGGTCCCTCCCTCCCTCGGTCAGGGTGTTGGGCGGTCCCTCCCTCCCTCGGTCAGGGTGTTGGGCGGTCCCTCCCTCCCTCGGTCAGGGTGTTGGGCGGTCCCTCCCTCCCTCGGTCAGGGTGTTGGGCGGTCCCTCCCTCCCTCGGTCAGGGTGTTGGGCGGTCCCTCCCTCCCTCGGTCAGGGTGTTGGGCGGTCCCTCCCTCCCTCGGTCAGGGTGTTGGGCGGTCCCTCCCTCCCTCGGTCAGGGTGTTGGGCGGTCCCTCCCTCCCTCGGTCAGGGTGTTGGGCGGTCCCTCCCTCCCTCGGTCAGGGTGTTGGGCGGTCCCTCCCTCCCTCGGTCAGGGTGTTGGGCGGTCCCTCCCTCCCTCGGTCAGGGTGTTGGGCGGTCCCTCCCTCCCTCGGTCAGGGTGTTGGGCGGTCCCTCCCTCGGTCGCGAAGCCACAGATGTCATGAAATGGTCCTTCATTGAATAAGCAAGATATTACAGATGTCATGTGTTGTTACACGGCTCTTCCAACTTTACCCGTGTTTCCCCGTACACCCACCTCTCCGCATACACACACCTCTCCGCATACACACACCTCTCCGCATACACACACCTCTCCGCATACACACACCTCTCCGCATACACCCACCTCTCCCCCTCACAGCGACATCAACATGCTCATCAACGATCCCTCGGTCGCCAAGTCGCATCTGCTCAGTGTGGCCTTGCTTGCACATAGACCCAACACCCCCTCCCCTTCCCCCCTCCCTCTTCCCCTCTCACAGCGACATCAACATGCTCATGGTGGGCGATCCTTCAGTCGCCAAGTCGCACCTGCCAACTGCTGCCATGCCCCCCTCCCCCCCGCCTGTGTTCACTCACCCCCCCTGCAGAGACGTCAACATGCTCATGGTGGGCGACCCTTCAGTCGCCAAGTCGCAGTTTCTTCGAGCCATCATGCATGCCGCCCCCCTCGCCATCTCCACCAATGGGAGGGGCTCTTCGGGAGTGGGGCTGACTGCTGCTGTCACCACCGACCAAGAGACGGGTGGGCTTGGTGTGACCGGAGCAGGTGGGGTTGGTGTGAGCAGGAGAGGGACAGGTGAGTTTAGCTTTGCATTGGAGAGAGGTCGTGCCTCTCAAGTCGCAGCTGCATCGAGTGTCTGTCGCCTTTTACTCTCTGTCGCCTCTCTCCCTTCCCTTGACGCCTCTCCAGGCGAGAGGAGGCTGGAGGCAGGAGCCATGCTGCTGGCGGACGGAGGACTGGTGTGCATTGATCGATGAGTCGAGCGCTGCTAAGCCCTTAGTGTGGCTTTCTTATCTTCCTGCTCCTTTCACTCTTCTCTCTTCCTCTGATCTGCAGGCGAGAGGAGGCTGGAAGCAGGAGCCATGGTTCTGGCAGACAGGGGCGTGGTGTGCATCGATGAGTTTGACAAGATGAGCGATGCCGACCGTGTTGCTATCCATGAGGTGCGTGCGATGGGTGGCACGGCATGGCTTGATATGGCATGGCGAGGCAAGGCATGGCGTGTCATGGCATGGCATGGCATGGCATCGTGCGGAATGACTTAGCATGGGGTTTGGGAAGGTTGTTGGATCCAAACTGTGAAACTCATTATTTTCACGTATTTCTCAGTCAGTTACTTGCTCACTCACTCGCCCGTTCACTTGCTCAGTAACCTTCTCACTCACACACACACACACATGCCTTTCTTACTTTCTCTCCGCCAGGTGATGGAGCAGCAGACAGTGACAATCGCCAAAGCAGGGATCCATGCTTCCCTCAACGCTCGCTGCAGCGTTGTTGCTGCTGCAAATCCCATCTACGGATCCGTGAGTGATGCTCGTGTCCTAGTGCAGTGTTTACATGATGGCTTTAATACTGACTATCAGTCAACCCCACTTCTCCCCACTATCAGTCAACCCCACTTCTCCCCACTATCAGTCAACCCCACTTCTCCCCACTATCAGTCAACCCCACTTCTCCCATGTTCTACTATACAGTGTAACTGCTCGGTCGCTACTCAACTCCCCTCGCCCTCTTCCTCCCCCTCCCCCTCCCCCTCCCTCCTTTTCCCCAGTACGATCACTCCATCAGCCCCTTGCGCAACATCGGCCTGCCCGACTCGCTGCTCTCCCCACAGCCCATGCCACTCCCTTTCTCCCTATTTCCAATTCCCTGCTCCTGCTGTGCTCCCCCTTCTCTCCTCCTCTCCCCCCCCACCAGTACGACCACTCCATCAGCCCCATGCGCAACATCGGCCTGCCGGACTCGCTGCTGTCGCGATTCGATCTGCTCTTCATCCTCGTGGATCAGATGGATGCTGACGTGGACACCCGCATAGCCAATCACGTGCTCCGCATGCACCGCTACCGCCTCCCGGGCGACGACGGAAGTAAGCAAGCTCCTTGCGCCTCCCTGCCTGCTGCTCTTGGCTGGTACTCTACTCATAGCTAGTTTATTTCTGGCTTGGAAGCGCCTCATACTGCCAGCATAGCCAATCACGTGCTCCGAATGCACCAGTACCACCTCCCGGGCGACGACGGCAGCAAGCTGTCCAGTCACTTCTCCCTCCTCCTGCTGCTGCTCTGTCCTTCCTTGTGCTGCAGGCCGTTTTCAATTTCAACTCCAATGCCAAGCCATGGTCTATTTTTGAGGCGCCTCAAATTCAGGCCGTTTTCAAAATTCAGCTCCAGTGCCAAGCCCTGGTTCTTGTTTCTCATGGCAGTCATTTTCCCCCCTTTCCCTCCCTCCCCGCAGCGCTAGCCCCAGGGGATGTACCCTTGGCAGCAACACACGCTCGATGAGGAGGACGAGGAGGAAGAGGGGGGACTGGGACGGCCCATTTTCCAGGCTGCACCCTAAGTTTCTTCCTTCACCCTACTCCCTACTCCCTCCCCGCAGCGCTAGCGCCAGGGGATATACCCATGGCAGCAACACACGCAGATGAGGAGGACGAGGAGGAGCAAGAGAGGGGGGACGCGGGCGGCCCACTTTCTTTGCTGCCCCTTAATTTTCTTCCAGCCATCCCTCCCCCTCCTCTCTCCTCCCGCAGCGCTAGCGCCAGGGGACATACCCATGGCCGCAACACATGCAGATGAGGAAGATGAGGAAGAAGAGGGGGGAGATGCAGTCGACCCAGATGCTTCCGCTGCTGCAATGGACGGTGAAGATGATGCCAATCCGGCCACTAGCCGGCCTAGGACCAGGAGTGGGGGTAGAGGAGGAGGGGATGGGGCTGGTGGGAGTGGGGGAAGGGGAGGGGGCAGCAGTGGTGCAGCTGATTTGGCGGCGAACTTAGTTAAGTACGATCGCTTACTGCACGGGGAGAGGAAGGCCGGGGAGCCGATAAGGAAGATACTTAAGAAGCGGTTTCTGAAGAAGTTCTTTCACTTTGCCCGCGGCCGCACCCCCGTGCTCTCAAATCGGGTAAGAGACGGTGTCTCGTGTCTCATAACTGCACCCCCTCTCTCCCCTAATTTATTTTTGTTTTTACCGTCTCAAAATTTCCCTTGACTCTTCCCTTGTGGTCCTTCATGAAAGTAAAGTTGTTTTGCGCAAGTTTTTCAGGTCACATTGCACCACTGTTTTTCAGGTCACATTGCACCACTGTTTTTCAGGTCACATTGCTCCACTGTTTTTCAGGTCACATTGCACCACTGTTCTTCATGTCACATTGCTGCACTGTTTGAATCTGAATCTTTTTCGCGGTCACTCATACCTCTTGCCGTGCGTGCGGATACCAGAGAGGAGAGAATATAGAGGATAGAGACAGAGCACATGCATGGTGCCTACTTTTGAGTCGACTCAAAAGTCAGCTCTGAATCCTTTCGCGGCCACTCATACCTCTTGCCGTGCTTGCGGACAGCAGAGAGGATAGAGGATAGAGACAGAGAGCACAGGCAGGGTGTCTATTTTATAGGACGTCTTCAAATGCAGGCAGAGTTTGCATCTCACGCCACGCCAAAATCACTTCCTCGCCTCTTACCCTCCTCTCCTACCCCCGCTCCTTTGTTCTTTCTTTCCAGCTTTTCCTCCCCGTTCCCCCTGTGCTGCTGGACTGCAGGCAGCAGAGAAGATAGCACAGGCATACGCGGATATGAGGGCTCAGGGCATAGTTGTTTCATTCTGCTTGTTGCTGCACAATCATTCTCCCCCTCACGGTCCCTCTTTCCCCCACGGTTCGTTCTCCCCCCGCCCCCCGCGTTCCCCCTCTACTGGACTGCAGGCAGCAGAGAAGATAGCACAGGCATACGCGGACATGAGGGCGCAAGGCATGGACGCGAGAAGGAGGGTGAGTTGAGCTCTAATACGTTTTGAGGCGCTCTTGAGGGCATTGTGTGCGATGCGATGCCTGGAGGAGGAGGATGATCGAAGATAACACACAGGGATATGCGGTGTGGAGATGAGGAGAAGATGAGGGCGCGGGCGCGGCACTGCTGCTACTCCACTATGAGCTTGAAAACATGGCGTAGCAGCAGTGAAGGCGAGTTCTCAAGGGAAGGTAACACTGGCGCATGCAGGGAGGGGTGAGGGCGCATGGCATGGACGCCAGGAGGCGGGTGAGTAGAGGGCTGGCTTGGACAAGAGCAGGATGGTGAGGCATTCAACCACGTGGGCTTTCACGAGAAGATAGCACAGGCGTATGCAGAGAGGGATGGATGAGGGCGCATAGCATGGGCGCATAGCATGGGCGCCGGGGCGCGTAAAGGAGGTTGATGTTATCTTCAGGGCGTGGTCGTGTTGAGGCATGTGCAAACGTGCGTGCATGTGATATCATATTTATCTAAGCGCTTTTTAGCTTCAGTTGAGAAGCAGTCTCTGACTGCCCCTCCCTCCTCTCTCCTTCCCTGCCTTTTCACCCCCCCAGTCGGATCAAGGCACTCTCCCTGTAACGGCCCGTTCTCTCGAGACGATGATCCGCCTGTCGACAGCACATGCCAAGCTGAAGCTGCGGCGAGAGGTGGGTCTGGGGGGGGGTGTTGGTGAGGTGGGTTGCCTCCTGTGTTTATAAGTTGCCTCCAGCAATGAACTTGTCGAGACCATGATCTGCCTGTCCGCGGCACATGCTAAACCAAGGTTCAAAAATACGACCGTATTTTTTATTTTTTGCCGTAAATTACGGAATCGTAAATTACGGTCGTAAATTACGGTAAAAAACGGTAAATCATTGTATTTTAATGTTGGTGCAAAAATACGGTCGTAAATTACGACCGAAATTTTGATACCGAGTTTGCAATAGCGAATTTCGGCGTTTCACAACCGTCACCCTGGGTCAGAAACATTTGTGCGGCCAAATGCACACGTGTTGGTTTTTTTTCCCGAGTCGCGCATGTCAGGTATTTCTCGAGGCGCGACATTTGGTTTTTTGGCGAACGGATTCCTGCTCTGTTGCCTTGACGAAATGTCAGTTTGCAAATTTCGCCGAAGCGCAAATATACAAATTTGCGCGATGCGGTAAACTGTACATTTGGCGAACCGTTGTCACCCGTCAACCCGTTTCGTCAGGTCGGTGGGACGATTCGCGAGCTTTTCGTTTTTTTCGCCCGCGTGCGCGACACAACCGAACTTTGCGCTGCGAAACCATTTTAACCAATAACGTTAGCCCAATCCCCATCCCATCCCATCCCACCCCTTCTGCCTTTTCCTTTCGCCAAAGCAACACAACCAAATCTAGCAAGGCACAAAGAGCAGGGCAAACAACCTACTCGACAAGTACATCTTAGCTTAGTAGGCATTTTACTGCTGCAGTCAAGCAAGTGCAGTATTCCACCATGGTTAGACCGTTCTCGGAGGTGTGGGAGCACGTGACGAAGGTCACATCTCCTAACGGCGTAGTTACCGCGACATGCAGCTAATGCCCTGCTACCGTGACCCCAAATGCCACTCGTATTCGAGAGCACATCTACGGGACCCCTCGCTCAAAGGAGAAGAACGTGACGCCGTGTCCGTCCGAATTTGCCAAACGGCTACGAGAAGCCGCCGAAAGGGATCGGTCTTCCACACCGTCAAGTTCCAACCGTGCCTCCTCCACCTCCACAACGGTCGAGATGCCGCCCGCAAGGCGTTCTAGGCAGCGGGACATCCGCGATATGGCGGATTCCGTTGCCCGCGCGCGTCTGGACTACCTGTGGGCGGCAGTTGTGGCTGAAAATGATCTTGCCTTCAACGTCTCCAAGTCTCGTGCGCTACAGGCCTTCGTTGACGCGGCTGTCGTCTACGCGAAGCCCTACACACTCCCAACCCCTTACAAGGTGTCCGGATCTCTCCTCGACAAGCTAAGGGCGGACGCCGAGGAGCTTGTGAGGCCGTTGAAGGAGAGTTGGAAGACGACCGGGTGCAGTCTCTCGGTGGACGGGTGGACGTGCTTGAAGTCCCGCGCGATGGTGTGCGTCATCGCCCTCAACGACACCGCGCCCGTCATTGTGGACATCGTCGACTCGAAAACCGCGAAGAAAACGGAGGATTACCTCGCGGGTCTCATCGGCAAGTCCATCTCCGAAGTGGGGAAAGATCTCGTGGTCCAGGTCATTATGGACAACGCCTCTAACAACCGATCTGCGGCTGAGAAGCTTAAGGTGGAGTTTCCCGGGATTTTCTTCACCAATTGCGCCGCCCACTGCTTGGATCTTATGCTTCACGACTTTGGGAAAGTCAAGCCCATCAAACTCGTCTTGGAGCAAGTTCATCGGGTCGTCATGATGATCAAGGGCAGCGCCTCGGCCGTCGTTCTATTCCGCGAGCTTTTTACCAAGCTTTCGTTGGTGCGGCCGGGTGCGACACGTTTCGGCACGCAAGTCATCATGCTACGCCGATTCTTGGAGGTGAAGAAGGCGCTCCAGGAGATGGTCATCAGCGATGAATGGAAAGGGGTGGCGGTGGCGCAGAAGACCGAAGGGCAGGAGGTGCGGACGCTTCTTCTCGACGACGTATTTTGGGACTGCGTGTCTGCGGTGCTCGGCCTCCTCACGCCGGTTTATGAAGTGCTAAGGATGGTTGACACGCGGGCGCAAATCATGGGCCAAATCTATGGCCTTATGATTGACATCACGGTCAAGACTCGGGTAGCTGCAGAGGCCGCCGGTAAGTGCAAGGCTATTTATTGGTTTTCCTACTCCTTGATCCAAAACTGTGATGCGAGATCATGCCGCGCATGCCAATCCCTACATTAACGAAAACCACCTCCATTCTCACCGTGAGAAGCGGCGGTGTTCGTCAAGAAGACGGGTCTGCTCTTGGCCAAGGACAAGAGCTCCTTCATCACATCCATCAAGGGCATCCTTGCCAAGCGTTGGGACGGGCAACTCCACAACTCCCTGCATGCCCTCGGATGGCTTCTTAATCCCCGCAACCAATATGCGGGGGAGGTGAGAACGGATGCGGAGGTGAGGAAGGGGGCCAACGAGGTGATTGATGCCCGGGTGGGGGATGTTGCCCAGCGCATCAAGCTGCAGACACAGCTGGTGCAGTTTCACAAGGGGGAGGGCCGCCTCGGGTCGGATGACGCGCTATGGGCAGCCAGGATTTTGGTGGCGGGGGGACACATGACGGATGCGGAGTGGTGGTGCATTTTTGGAGGGGAAGTGCAAGCGCTCCAGGAGCTGGCTGTGACGTCCCTTTCACAGCCAGTCACCTCGTCAGAGGTGGAGCGGTACTGGTCCGCCCTTGCACGAGTGCAGAGGCGCGACCGGAACCGCATCGCGGCCAAGAAGATGACTGATGTCACCTTCGTGGCCTTCACGAGGAGGGCCCGCGATGCGTTTGATCGCAAAACGCAGGCGCGTGCGAAGTTGTACGCCGATCTCACCGACGGAACCCTCAAAGAGGGCATTGCCGTTCTCCCGCCCGCACCAGTGGAGGCGGTTGATGATGGGGCTGAGGAGGAGGGAGCCGAGGTGCAGGAGTGCACCATCGACTGGAGCGTCTTTGGGAGCATTGGTAAGAAGAAGAAGAAGCGCGCGGGAGAGAGCTCCAAGAGGAAGAAGAAGCAGAAGGGAAAGGGGCCATGCAAGCGGAAGGGGAGAGGAAAGAAGCATGTGGAGGAGGAGGAGGCGGAGGATGACGAGGAGGAGGACGACGAGGAGGAGGACGACGACGAGGAGGAGGAGGACGACGAGGAGGAGGAGGATGAGGAGGAGGAGGATGAGGAGGAGGAGGAGGAGGCGGAGGAGGAGGAAGGATAGGAGGTGGAGTGCCGGAGGAGTAGAAGGAGTTGGAGGAGTAGGATTGGAGGAAGAGGAGGGAATAGAATAGGTGCAGATTTGCCTAACTAGTGTAGTGTAGTTTCTTGTAGGCTTCTCTGCCATCGTTGTAAGCTGCCTAGAATTTTCTGAAAAAAAAAACAAGAAAAAAAAAGTCCAACAAAAAAACGGCCGTATTTTTGCCAAAACCACCGTAATTTACAACCGTAAATTACGGACCGTAATTTACGATTGCCGTATTTTTGAACCTTGTGCTAAACTGCACTGTGGCGAGAGGTGGGTGTTAAGACGGCAAGACAGCAAGACAGGCAGGTGAGCGTGGTTGCTAGGTGGGAAGGAAAAATTCTGGGTCCACTTCTCAAAACGGACTTCAGCAAGGCAGGTACACATGAAGCTTTGCAAGAACCGAAACTATCTTCGACGAGTCGATCTGTTTTCTGTTTAGGAAAAATCGTTCAAGCTGGCTCGCCAAGAAACGCTAAAGCTTGCACCTATCCAGGCTCCTTCAGCTTACACGACCTATGGGATTCGTCTCGTTGTCCTAAACGCACGAGCTGTCCTGTGCCCTCTCCAGGTAATGGAATCAGACATGGATGGCAGCGGCGTGGCTAAACGCTGCCATCCATGTCTGATTCCATTACACGACCATATTGAAATCACTTATGAGAATTCTCGTTTGAGATCACTTTTGAGAATTCTCGTTTGAGATCACTTTTGAGAATTCTCAAAAGTGATTCCATTACACGACCTATGGGATTTGTCTCTCCAGCTAATGGAATCAGACATGGATGGCAGCGGCGTTGTGTCTCCTTGACTCTGCTCTGTATCTTTGCGAGCTGGATGAGACGGACAAGCGGGTGGCGGAGGAGCAATGCCAGGGGCTCTCATCCAACAATGGCGCTTTCCTCCCCAACCTCCCCCCCCAGGTTCTGGAGTCGAATGTAGCAGCGGCACTAAGCCTGCTGGACTTTGCTCTGTACCATCGCGAGCTGGATGAGACGGACAAGCGGATGGAGGAGGAGAGGCAACGAATGGAATCAGATGTTCGGATCCCTATTCCTCCCCAACTTCTCCCCTCCAGGTGTTGGAATCAGACGTGGCAGCGGCGTTGAGCCTGCTGGACTTTGCTCTGTACCATCGCGAGCTGGATGAGACGGACAAGCGGATGGAGGAGGAGAGGCAACGCGTGGAGCAGCAAAGGAAAGAGGCTGCTGCTGCCGCCGCCGCCGCCGCCGCTGCTGCCGCAACTGCTTCTGCTGATGGTGCTGCCGATGGGGCTGCTGATGGTGCTGGTGCTGCTGATAGTGTGGGCGGAACCGCAGCAGCATCAGCTGGGGGACGGACAAGGCGACGAGGCGGGCGCAAGACAAGGTGCGTAGCTCTTGTGTGGCTGGCAGGAAGGGCGAAGTGAATGGGACGTGGAGTGTATATCATCATTTCTGAACCACTGTTTAATAAAAATGCGAACGAAAGCTGGGAGGAAAGGAAAAGGTGCCTTGGCATGGATTCAGAGGCGAAAGGGGGCGAGGAGACTCCTGATTCAAGGAAAGGAACCAGGCTCTATCGGCGCCCGCGAGGGACTTTCGAGTCGACTCAAAAGAAAGGGGGCGAGGAGACTCCTTCTGAGTCAGCGACAATATTAGGGTGTATCGCATCTTTTTGAGGCGCCTTAAAAGAGTCCTCAGTCAACGATAACACCAGGTTGTATCAGCGCCCGCAAGTTGACTTTTGAGTCAACTCAAAAGAAAGGGGGCGAGGAGACTCCTCCTGAGCCAGCGACAAATGCAGGCGGTATTTAGCGCCCGCCCGCAAGTCGTCTTGCTTTTGCAATCTGTCCCCCTTCCCCCCTTCCCTTTGGATGTACCCACTTGTTCCTGCAGGTCCCGTGGGAAGAGGCAACGCAGGGATTCACAGGCGGAAGGGAGCGAGGAGGAAGAGGAAGAATATGCGGAGGAGGAGGAAGAGGAGGAAGAGGAGGTGGAGGAGATTGAGATGGAGGAAGCACCTGCGGCTGGGGTTCCACAGTACGTTCCGTCTTCCCTTCCTTCCTTATTTGTCGGTGTTTATGTGGGTGGGATGGAAATCAAGGCAGGGAAGAGGGTGTGGAGGGCAACGGTGTTGAGAAGCCTTACGTCATCTTACTGCTGCCCCCTTACAAACGTTATTCTTGCTCACCTTTCGTGATGTTGCTCCTCCCCAAGCAACAACCACCCAACCGCACAAACAATTTGACTTTTGAGTCGAATCAAAAGTCACTTCGTGATGTCGCTCCTCCCCAAGCACCAACCACCCAACCGCACAAACACAGCCTTTGATTTCTTGATTTTCAACAATTGGTTTGCCGGGTTTTTTTTCCAATCGCCTTCTTTCTATCCGTAACCCTGAACTTCTTTCCATATCCCTCTCCCCACAGCCTGGGTGATCCGGCACCTGCTTCTGCTGCCGATGGGGCATTTACTGCTGAAAGGTGGGGTTTCTGTTCCTTTCTCCGTCACTCCCTCACACTATCACCGCCCTAGGTGAACCTTCACCAGCTTCTGCTGCAGATGAATTGTTCAGTGCTGAAAGTTCAGTGCTGAACGTTCAGTGGAACGTTCTGCCCTTTCTCTGTCTTTTCTCTGTCTTTCTTATTCACGGCAAAAGCAGTTGCTCCTTTCTCGTTGTTTCGGTTCGACGTGCCGTTGTCGAGACGTCCTCTCCTGAAAAACATTTGGGTGTGTGTGTGTGTGTGTGTGTGTGTGTGTGTGTGTGTGTGTGTGTGTGTGTGTGTGTGTGTGTGTGTGTGTGTGTGTGTGTGTGTGTGTGTGTGTGTGTGTGTGTGTGTGTGTGTGTGTTTCCTCTCTTTCTCGTTTTTACTGTGTTCATTCTGCTCTTTTTTTTTTCTGCATCCAAATTGTAGATTTGATGCCTTCCAGCTGGCGTTCAGTGAGCATGTGGTGGCAGCACGGGTGACGGAGTTGGGTGGAATGTCATGGTCACATCAACGAGTTTTCCTTCTCCTCTCCCCGTGCATTGATAAACCCCAGATTCGACGCCTTCCAGCTGGCGTTCAGTGAGCACGCGGTGGCAGCGCGGGTCGAATCGATAGCAGTGGACGAACTGGCAGAGGTGGTGAACAAGCGATGGCCGGGGAAGAGCTTCACCCGGGCTGAAATCGATGCCATGCTGGAGGTGAGGTGGTGGGGAGATAGGGGTGAGATGGGGGGGGAGAGATTTGGGTCCGAGTCCAGACTCTGGTGAGTGAGGTGATGATGATATTGTATGCTGAGTTTAGTCACTCTGGGGTGAAGTGAGTTCACAAGAGGGTTGAGGTATGAATTGTTTCTGCACAAGTGAGTTGATGTTTGTTGAGGAACTTTTGAAGCTAATCTTCCTTTCCTTGTGTCGTATCACCATGCAGCAAATGGAGGTCAATAACCGAGTCATGGTTGCAAGCGGCATTGTGCACCTCATATAGCACCCATGTGCGCAGCTGTGTCGGGCATTCCAGGGCACTGGATTTGAGCATGGTTTCCACCAAAGTTCTCCGTTTTCTTTCAGCTTCACCCCTACATCTAGATTGTCCAGAAAGCTCTAACCAGTCATTCCTTTTTTTCCAGGTACCGTAACTAACCCCCAATGGTAGTACAACAGAAATGGAGTACACAACTCAGCGTATCCATTCCAGATGTTGGCAAACGAGAGTTGACTCCAACGAGTGTACAACAGAGCGGAGAGAACAGAGCCACCAAACTTCCAGGATGAATTGCAGAAGCACCGGTACCGTATCCCGATCAAACGCTGATCAACAGCACAAACCTTGAGAATAGATTTATTTCCGGTTGAAGAATACAACAAAGAGGATACTTTTAACCCAGAATCCCCCCACGGACAGCAAAGTAATATCCTGGCTAACCGCTGAGCAACAGCAGTACGCCAGGAGGTCTTCAATTTGCGTTGAAGACACCACGAGACGGACGTGATACCCCGAACCATTATGAGTAGGCTGGCGGATGTACAGGATGGAGAAGGGACGGATGGTGCAGCTGGATGGTGCAGCTGGATCGTGCAGCTGGATGGTGTAGCTGGATGATGCAGTTGGATAGAGCAAATGTGAATAAATACCAGCATGGTTGAAGTTGGGTGGTAAGAAGCTGGTTGGCAGTAAAGTGGGGGTGGTAGCCACGGATCTCCTCGGTTTCATGCGAGGCTTGATAAATACTGGTATCTGTTTAGAGAGGGTGACAGCGTCTATCTGCTGACGCAGACTTCCGTCAATCATGGGCGTCATCCGTCAGATTAGGGGCGGTGTCCGTCAATGAGCTGGCGATGTCCGTCAATAGGCTGGAGATCTTTGTGGTGTACTTTTTCTCCTGTTCGAGCTAGGAAGGACAGACCGTGGCGAGGAGCTCCACGACGATCGCGAGTTTCGCGAACGTTTAGGCACGGAGGAGTAGTCGTAATCATGGGACGTCGTCTCCTTTTCCTCGAAGGACGAACCACTATCAGAGTAGGCGAAATTTCGCGAGTCGTCGTGCTTCATAGGCGACAGCTCATCCTGAGAAGAATACGACCCGCTATCTGAGGTGGCTAGGCTGGTCAATAATTGATTCGTCGCCATCCTCTTTATCGGTTCTGACGACGGCGCGTTCAGGCGTTCAAGAGCCTCTACCTGCGACGAATAAGCACAATTGATGAGAATTGAACCAAATTTAAGATTCGACTTTGACCGCATGACTGGAATTGACAATTGCGACGCCGTTCTGAACGGCGAGTTCTTTGAGTCAAAGACGTACCTTGCAACCCAAACAGCAGTAACTGAATTCGTCTTGAAGCATTCGAGAGCATGTCAGGCATGAATTGGTCGTCTTGGTCGGTCGAGGCTGAGGCCGTTGGTTCAAGAACACCACTCTTGAGCCATTGACAATGTAGGCCTGTAAATAGAAAGGGAAGAATCCTGGTTATGGCAAGAATTACAATGAAAGGAATTATCATTTGGAAAGTCCAAAAAAAATTCCCGCACCTGAACTCCGCTACAGTCCACCAGCTTCGTGATGTCCTGAAGCCGAACGACGTCGTGATACACGTATCTTCGAATCTGGACGAAGGAGAAAGGGAATTTCTTTGAGTCGGCTTGTTTGTGATAAGGTCAATTGGACTCTCAATGTATCCAATGGACCCAAGCCCTCTCCAAATTTCGCAATCCGCTTGAATTTCCCGTGAGACATGAAAACGCAGCTTTTCAAATGCGGAAATTGGAGGAACGGGCATACCTGGAGCGTTTTATGAGACTGATGGCTTGGCATGCAATGCTGGCAAAGCTCCTCCATGCAGTCCAGGCAGAACAAATTCATCTCGTTCTTCTTCAGCGACACGTGTTGCGTGCAAGAAGAGAAGAAATCCCCCTTCAGTAGACAATCAAGCCACTGAGGACGCTCAACTGCAGAACCCTCGGAGAAAATCAGCGCTCTTCGTGCAGCCATGGCTCTAAAGCTGGAACTACGAAGCAATTTCGCTCGACTCAATGTACCAAACCTCTTGAAGGCAATTCAGCTGTTCTGGCGACAAGACAATATTCTTCGAGCTTGTCGTTGACTAAATCCTGGAATTTCTCAGATTAGAACAGAGCCACTAAATGGGAAATCAATGGAACGAGGAAGTTCGCTCCAGCAATTGTACGTGTGTCTGATTGTGAGCTTTTGAATGTGAAGCCTTCCATTGGCCTTCTACAGAACGAGGGGCTGCTGAGCTCGGCTTGATTCCGTCTCGAAGTCCTCGAATCAGGGACTGCCCAAACAGCGCCAGCAGGACATTGAACTCTTCTCACAAAAGTTTATCCGAGCTGCCCGGCCTTCTCCACGGGCGGAGTCCAATGGCCGCTCATAACTCATCTCTGGTGATTCCGGCCATTGGACGATCAGGAGCTGCCCTACCTGGAGCAGTGTGTTTCGGCATACACACGCCGAGCGCCTGCCACTAGGACGATTCCTTGTGCCAGCGCGGATAATGCTAGAAAGGACCGTCAGACATGAAACTTTTCCAATTTCGTCGCCATGTGCGGGCGCCTTAGTTGTCACTCCTACATTGGCTACTTCTGCTTGACGAACCTCGTGGTCCAAGGCAAAAAACATATCAAGAGAAACATCTCCTGGTTCGGGGGCCAGCTCATGCAGTGCACCTTGGGATGCAATGATGACGAGCAACGTCGTAGTATGCCCCTCACTCCCTCCCTCCCTCGTCTCACGCGCGGTCCGAGAGCAATATTCTCAGTGTTCTCCCAAACGTACGCCACCTTTGACACCGAGCCTAACCAAGATATCATGCCACGGCTTCTGCCAATAGTCTGACTAGGACGAGTGCTTCACTCCCAGTTTAGAGGGGAGCCACGTCACACAGTAAGACAAACCTGTACACGCAAGAAATGCCCTCGGCAACTTTCTCTCACGCGCCAGTGACGCCACAGTATCTAACGCGCTGGCCCTTGCCGTACCATCGAAGACTGAGGAAACTGGCACGCGCAAACAAAAAAATCTCCTTCGAACGTGGGCATGTGTCAAGACGTCAAACATGAAACTTCAATTGATATCAAGCTTACAGTATAGTGTACGTTTTCAGCGAAGCAAAAATCACTGAGTGTAACGAATATGGAAGTGAAAAGTTCCATAACTGTAAGGAAAAAAATTCCTTTTCCTTACTTCACGTCCACGCTCAGCGCGTACACCACTGTAGCACCACAGTCAGCACCGTTACCACTCGCAAACCCTCGCATCGACAATCCTCCCACCACTTTCGCATGTCGCACCCCGACCTCACGGCTCGACGAGTAACCCACGCTTTGGGCCTCCGCTTCAACATTTTCCCAAACCTCAGTCCCACGCCCGTCGCGCGACAACTACAGTCCATTACCATTACCACTGTAGTTTCGCTATACATTCTTCACTCATGCCTTCGCTCATTGTACCCTTGCTTCGATAGTGCAATTCTCGCTCGCTCACTCTATTGCACTTGTAACACTTGGTATTCAGAGCCTACGATCTCTTCTCGGACCGCACCCACACCTTCGCTTCCTCACTATCTCAAACTTTCGGGGGGGGGGGGGGGGGGGGATAGACGTCTCTCAGCAACACAGCACCGCCACTCGTAGTGCTCTCTCGTAAGCACACACGGCTACGACAGAGGCTCTCGCTGAGCTTGCTTGGCCCCCCCCCCCGCCATGGCCGAATTCACGCTCCCGACGTTGACGCAGGAGCAACTTGACCGTCTGGTGGGCCACGTTGAAGAATCGATGTAATCCACGGTGAATACTCCAGCGCCACCACACGCACCGACAAATGCATCTGCACAATCGGACGAGCCGATCGTCATTTCGTCCGGCACACCAACACAACACGACAGCGTGGGACAGCGCTCATGTGCAACCAGTGATGGCGCCGCCCAACCGATGCCTGGCATGGGGGGAAACAGGGTCGCACCAAGCCCGCGGGAGCCTTGTGAAGCCCGTCGGCATGAAGAGTTCGCGGCGACAAGTGGCGACCAGGCCATTATGGCACTAATGCCACTCAAGCCGCAACGCCCGCCCTGCTTCAACCCAAGCCTGCGTGGAGGTCCGACGGTTCAATCGTGGGTCTTCACGATGAACGTCTTCTTCGACGCGAATTGCGTCGAGTCGGACGCAGCGAAGATCCGATATGCCGTCTCGCTGCTGAGGGGCCCCGCCATGGACTGGTGGCGAGTCATCGTGACATCGCCACGCGCCTACGAGCCACCGTCACAAGAGGAAGGGTCCACGGGTCCAGCTGTCACTTGGAGTTCATTCTGCGAAACCGCACAATACAAAACGTGGGATGCGTGGTGCGCAGGGCTTCAGGCGCACTTCGAGCCGATCGCGGCTTCTATTTCGGCGCGTCAGAGACTGCGTACTAGGCGGCAGCTCGGGTCGGTTCAAGACTACACGAGTAGTTTTCTCGCATTATGCGAGCAAGTCGGCTACTTGCACGAAGCGGAGCGGGTGGACCGTTACGTTGGAGGGCTGAAGCCGGACATCTCGCACGAGATCATGCTATGCGGGCTCTCGAAATTCAATGAGATTCTCTCGCTCGCCGAGAAAATCGACATTTTGCGCCGTCCGAGACCGGGGTCCTACTACGGACATCGTCCTCGGGGACCGATCGAGCACGCAACTGTACACGCCGTTGCGACGAATGTAGTTGCTGCGCCATTTAAGGGCGCTGCTTTGGTTGCAATAGGACGGGTCATCGCAAGAGTGAATGCCCAGAGGAGCTGAGGCACCGCGGAGCAGAGCAGGGGAAGGAGTCTCTAAGGCAGGGAAACGCCAGCAGTCAGTAGGAATCGGGCCAACTACTGACGAGACTGCCTGCTCGCCCAACCCCACCGACCCTCACCGAGTCATAGTACCGATTCATGCTATCGATCGGACTCGGACGAATAAGGAGGGTACAGCGACGGATTGCCCGACAC